TGTAGTGACCTGCACTTGCACACAGGATTTTTGGTGGCAGCAGTGACAGCAGTAGCGGTCAATACATGTCTCTGGGGTCTGAGCTGAGAGCTACAGCTCATGCCCACCTCTGGAGTTCACTTATGCAGTGCTTTGTCGTCTATGGGCACACAGAGTAGGAATCCCCACACCTTGCGCACCCCAAAACAATGGTCTCTTGCATCTCCAGCAGGTCCAGACTTTTTCCCGGACTCCCTCCAGGCTAGCTTTGGTGCACTAACCCCCTTCACGCTGTCTTCACGCAGCCAACCCCCGTCCTCTCCTTGTGGTCTGACTGCCAAAGCCCGAGCCTCAGCTCTCAGGCCCCACTCACCCCGGTGGGTGAGCAGACAAACATCTCAGGCTAATGAGTGCTGGTCGGCAGTGATCCTCTGTGTGGGAATCTCTCCACTTTGCTGTCTGCACCCCTGTTGCTGCACTCTCCTCTGTGGTGTGGCTCCAAATCTTCCCCACTGCCCACCCCTCGTCCCCACCAGTGAATGGGCTTCCTAGTGTGTGGGAACGTTTTATCTTTCACAGCTCCCTCTCAGAGGCACAGGTCCCATCCCTATTCTTTTGTCTCTGTTTTTTCTTTTCTCTTTTGCCCTATCCAGGTATGTGGGGATTTTCTTGCCTTTGGGAAAGTCTGAGGTCTTCTGCCAGCGTTCAGTATGTGTCCTGTAGGAGTTGTTCCATGTGTACATGTATTTTTGATGTATTTGTGGGGAGGAAGGTGATCTCCACGTCTTATTCCTCTGCCATCTTGAAGGTCTTCTCATAGCAGAATTTCTTGCCTCAATGTGCTACATGTCTTTAAGAAACCCAAACATCTTTAGTTTCCCCTCATAAGAAGACAAAAGTAGATAAACTTAGACCTGTTTAGCAAGTAGTGTTCCAGTGTTTTATTTTATTTGAAATAACCTGGATGGTCAATAATTCCTATCATTTAATTTAATATAGTAAAACTAAATTTTCAAGTTGCCAAAATCAGGAGAGACTATTTTAGATAAACATTCCCAAAACGCAATTTTTTTAAGTTCAACTAAAGAAACCTCTTATCTCATGTACATTTAATTTATTTAAGATTTAATTATACCAAGTTCTTTTCCTTGCTGACAAATTTGACTCTCAGTATAATGAAAGTATTAGTCTTAATACTGATGACTCTAAAGACATGTCTATATTAATTAAATGAACAAACAAGCTTGTTTTTGCTCATTAAGGATTAGTCCTAGATCACATGACCCTGAAATTTATTTTGGCCAGTTTTCTTTATATTTAGAAATATTTAACTTGTAAGCATTTACTTTTCTTTAGGCCAATTAAATACAGCTCATCTACAAGTTACTTTTTATATAAAGACAGATGGAACCAGAGATCTCCTAGCCCCATTTTAAACTTAGTTATGAACCAGGTATTATAATATAAAATACACTGGTTTATAATGGTTGGAATAAGTTAAAAAAAATTTTTAACTTCTATTTCCCCTTCCCCCTCTCAGTCTCAGGAATTACAGGTGGTCTAGATAAGTGTTTCTGAGAGCCCTCATAGAACATTTACATCTCAAGGTGAGACTGATTTGGAGTCTTAAAGATCTATTTACCTGTCCCCAGGTGACTCAGCTGGAGTCTCAGATGACCCAGTTTGAGTTCTCGACAACTCAATGACAAGGACCCAAAGGTTCTGAGCTACTTGTGGGTCCTCAGATCTCCTGGGGAACCAAAACTGATTTCCTGAGCTTAGCCTAGAACCATATTTCTTAGGGGTTCTTGTCTCTGAGAGAGGCTTCCGGAGACCAATGGTGGGGAATGACAGGGAGGGGTGGACCTGAAAAAGACATATACACAGATCCAAGCTAACTGATCAAGATGAGAGACAGATTAACACTAAAGACATGCTCTTGGCCTCCTGATTATATCCTGAAGGTGAGAGTGCTTCAGGGATTGTGACTATGGATGATTTACATGTTCCTGGTTGCACGGACGCATGCTTCAGGTCAGCAGGGAAACTAGAGCCAGTCTGCCCTGATCCATGACCAACTTATACTTTCATGGGACTCTCCAAGTGGTGAGCACACTGATGGGTCTTCAGTGCTTGACCTGTGCCCACAATTGTGGCAGAGACTCACAAAAGCAGTTGGACAAACAAAACCACATAAAATCAAGATCCTTCCAAATTCACTGATGAAGACTTGAAACAAACCAATGACAGAAATTTAAACTAAAGACACAAGAAACAAAGAGGTGATCTTCCTGTGCGGTGGCCTCCAGAGGACTTTGTCCAGCCCAACTCCTCACTCACTTAGCCCTCTGCTAGAACAGAGTTTGTCCAGCTCCTCACTCACCTGGCATTTCTGGCCAGGCAAAGCCAGTGACCCTGTGTTGGGCATCCCCAGGACACTACCCTGACCCATGAAAGGTATCCCAATCAAGGATATTTGGGAGGGTTTGTCTTTCCAGATGAGTGCTCCCAGATCAGATGCTTGGCTGTTTTCAGATCTCAGACTTATTCCAGTAGGGCTCGTTGACTCAGGGGTCAAGGGCAAGGGCTAAATCACCCTGTTCTTTTGGCTGGCCACCTGTTGGCCTTGAGTCAGAGAGCCGTCTGGCTGGATTTGTTACCAAATTGGTCACCTGGAGCCACACCAGTGTCCTAGTTCAGGCCGAGGCCCCTAGCCCCCCAAGACCCCAGGGAGGTTCTTTGTGGCTCAGATTCGCACAACCAATAACAAAACCAGTGCTGAGACTGGAATAGCACAAGCTTTATTCAATGGCCAAAGAATGGCACAAATCAACTTCTTTGTCTCACAATCCCTTAGACTCTTCGAGCAACATGGGGGTGTCTCACAGTCCCTCAGACTCTGACCTGACCTCTAAGACTGGAGAAGAGAGGAATGTCTTGCAATTCCTTGGACTCTCAGAGCCAACCTGGCCAGACCAGATTAACTGTGCAGTTCTTGAGTCATTTCTTCTCTCCCGTTGAGATGGGGACAGAACCCTGAAGCTGACTTGTGGGATAAACACCTCTCACCTCTCCAAAGGGACTCTCCAGATCAAGAAGTCCAGAGCAGCTTCTGAGCCCATTCAGCAAGTTGAGGTGCATAGACCTGAAAAATCAGGCACCAAGAGGGATTCCCCTATGCCCTTCCCCTTAGATCCCCCAGCAACATAGACAAATTCACCCGGGTGAACTGCTGCAGCCCACTGCGTTGCCTCTTGGGAGCTGGAGCAACACAAAGGGGTTAGGTGAGAGGTCCCACCAGAGTCATCAAAATTTGTCACCTGCAAACTGTGTTCTCCTTTTAGTGGGTGTCAAGTCAAAAGACACAACCAAGACAAAGATCAGGAGAAGGAAGTATTTATTACTTGTAGCAAGTAAGGAGATCACTGGGGATCTTTCCCAAAGCCGTGTCTCCTCAACATTTAAGATAGTGGGGTCCATGAAGTATTGTGCAGCTGTGTGGCATGTCTGTAAGCCTCAGTCATAATGTTTATGAAGACAATGACTAACATCTTCTACAGAAGTGTCTGGAATGCAATGTCACGTACGGGGGCCACTGGCAACATGTGACTCGAGCCGTTGAACTGTAGCTAGTTTGACTGAGGAACTGAATTTTAAATTTCATTTAAATATTAATGTGTAGTTTGCATTGTATTTCTGTTGGACAGTGCTGGACTTGTCCAGAAGGCTAAGGGGCAGGGCTATGCACTTGCCCTTCCTGATGTATAGCCTTCATGCCAGGATGTGAGTTGCTCCTCAGCCCAGTGCTGAAGCTTCCGCCACACGCATATGGGCACTGCTGAGATTATGCCCCTCTTTGAAAATTTGAGAGAAGGGGGCATCCCTTTTCTTTATTTAAACGTGCCACCTTATTCCAGGTGTTGGGAGAATGTATTACCTATGCAAAGATGGCGAGTTTCATTTAATTTTCAAGGCTCTGGAAATATGGGCTGGGAATGAGACACAAAACATAAATAGAATCAAGAGAGGGCTGGTTTGATAGGGGATTAGAAGGATGGGAATGGATAGGGAAGGAACTCACAGTTGGATGCACAGATTTTGGTATTATTATAGTAATCGAGTGGTGGGTAGCTGAGTGCCAAATTTGTTATGCTTCATAACTTAGGTATGTGTTTCATGTATGTATCAAAACTTCTGTGATTAAAATGAAAGGGTTGGGGTAAGAAAATTATCAATCATGTTTATTTGTATTTGAGTCCCTATGTTCATTCCAACTCAATATACACACATGTGCCATATGTGAACATGTTTGATGTACTTTTGTTGCATTGTATTAAATTTAAGTATGGTTCTTATCATTTGTCAGGGCACAGATGTTTCTTATTTCATTTTAAAAACTATTAAGAAATTGACTTTAGATTACACTAGAAAAAACAAGCTTGAAGGTTATTTATGGCTGTCCTTAGTAGGGTCTAATGACCCTTCCACTAGGTGGAAGCCATGGAGACCAACTTGCAAAATGTTCAGGAAATCCAGAATTTTAGGGTAGGGCAAACAAGTAATGTTAATAGCACTGAGAACTTAAGGAAAAATATAGTCCTCTTAAATGCAAAAATCATCTCATTTCATAGGAAGAGTTATAGTTTCTTCTTTAAGACAGCAGGAGTAAAGCATGGAAAATACTACATAAAAATTTTTAAATGGTTTTGCTTTTTAATACAAAATAAGTATTTTGATTTTAAAAGTAACAAAATCATTCAAGGTACTGTACTAAGATTTAGGCTCGTAATTATTCTTAGAGCTTATAAACAACTGTGATAGGACAAGGTTCTTCCATTTGGTCATAGAATGTCAGTTCTGCTCTGGGTTCACATATGTCTATTTTCTCTCTTTATTAAACCCTTGAGGGCGTCTTGAGGAAAAATAAACCTATATTTTCCTATGTAAACCATAGCGGGGTATAAGCTTTCAGTAAATGTTAGTCAAATCCAAGTTGAATAACTCCTTCTAATTCTGTTTTCAGAGACTTCACTGGTGGAATAGGATCAAGACCAAGGCCAGGTAATTTAGTGTTGGCAGCAATAACATCATACACGCCTCCCTGAAATTCAGTGCAATTCATATTACAGTTTCATATATTTCCCCCTTTTATTTCTTCAGCTTTGCTGCCTCTTTACCTGCTTCTGAAAGTGCCACCCCTCATGCTCAGGGCCCAGGTTAAGGAGCTAGAGGCCGAGTTAGTGATGGGGTGGCAGTCCCATAGCCTTCCCGCTGTGATAACCTTAGTACAGTAACTAGTAACTTTAGTACAGTAACTTTAGTACAGTAACTTTAGTTACTTTAGTACAGTAACTTTAGTTAACTTTAGTTACAGGTAACTTTAGTACAGTCAGGTACTAAAGGTAACTTTAGTATAGTCAACCAGAGAATCTTATTTTATTTGTCCATCATTATTAGCTTGGCATGTTAACAGTATCAAAATGCTTTCTGTATTCACTTATTTGATGAAATATATAGGCTGTTTTACTAAAATTTGTATTTTTGCTTGGTAGGAATGTTAGCCAGTTGAATTTTGATGCTTATAGTGCATACCTACTAACAAAAAAAAGTAACCTTGTTTTACATACATATTTCTATAAGCTCTACACCGATATGATATGAGTAAGCATATCTTTTCTTCTATCTCTGTTACTCTGACACAGATAATTTTAGTTATTTGTATTTGATTAAAGCAGTGTTATATCACATTGTTTCTCTAATAATGTAAAAATTATGGATTCTTAAAACATAAAAGTTTATAGTAATTGTTTGAGAAAAAAGAGTATATTCCTTAATATTTCTAATTTCTATTAAAGAGGACCAAAGTTCAACAGTAATAGTAAAGTTTTTAACTAAACCTGGACAATTCAGGAAAAAAACTTAGTGACTGTGCTTTTAACATATGTGTATGACTCGAGTATAAAGTTCTATTTTACTACTTTGGTTAATTTGGAATTATTGCTTAATGTTATTTTCACTTTGGCTTCCTTAATTCACATTCTTTTGTAGAGTTAATAGGTATAGTGAACAAAGGAGATGTGAATTGATTTACTGTAATATTAGTCCATGTCTCCACATTTATTAAACTTGCTTTGGAAGAGTTATTGACAGTTTGGGGCCAATCTGTCACTATCAGCATAGATGCAAAAAACAGATAGCTTTGTTATTAACATATCTAAAGCTGTCATGCTGACCATGCTCTACTCCTGCTATTTTGGCATAAGGTAAGTTCATAACATAATCATGAAGTTAAAATAATTGTCATTGATTGGTTTTATAATAGTGATAGCAGAATACATACATATGTAATCAATTTGCAGTTCAGTTGTGATTCATAATAAGAATTATTTTTCCTAAAGGGTATGTTGAGTTAGCTAGTTTAAGACTTGACTTTATGTCAGCAAAATTGATCAAATCTCTGGATAGTTAAACAAACTATTTAGCACAGTTAACATGTAATATATTATATTTCTTAGACCTACAGTTTGTTATACTATCTACTTTTTAAAAATTTACTGATTCATATATTTTAAATTTAAAACAGAATGTACTATAGCATTTTAAGTGTTGTCAGTGAATGCTAAAGTTTACCTATAAATGAGTGATTAGTTTCAACTAATCTTGTAGAACACAGTAATGCATATGAGGAAATTTGGGTTACTACTTAAAAGTTATTCCACTTTCCAGTAAAACAAAAAATTTTTTTTCTTCATCTTAATGCAAAATGTTTTTTCTGCATATTATAAAAGTCATACTTTTTAAAATGTTGCAGGTAAAATTGGACTATTGGTTGCTTTATCAAATCATAAACAACTGGTACCAGCCCCATCCACTTAGATCACCTTCTCTGCAAATCAGTATTCTTTCCATTATGTATAACCAATAGCTATAGTCCTGTATTGCCTAAGTGCTCTGGAAAAAAATTGTCAGAGATGAGAGAATTTTGTCAAAACCTGGGTATGCTCCCAGGACTATATCTAGTATGTGAACATCATTTTCCATGTGCTATGGCAGAACAAAGGGTGAGAACTATTATTTTAGAGTGCTAAGTGACTGTATTAGAATATGATCTTGCCTATATTGTACTCCTAAAATGTGAACTTCTAGGTTCATATTGTGGTCATACAGCAGTATTTGATGTACCTCCAAACTCCTATAAAACAAATAACCATGAAGCTGTTTCAAGTTAACACTATTAAAAATCCTCTTGTTCTGTCTTTTGATACTAACTAGATTGTATAAATTATTTGATAAGATATTCTTTAGGTTAAATAACAGACTAGTTCTCTGACAACAGAGTTGAAAATTTAGGAATTTCTATACTGAATGGATGAAAATATTAACAGTAATTAACATGGAATCAATGAATGAATAAACACTTTTTACACATATTAATTATTTTAGCTCTATTTCCCTAACCTTTGTCACTTATAGATTACCATGGCACAAATTTGGCTCTATCTGAGTACCATCTATATTACTATTTTCCAAATATCGATTTCTTTAATTTGACTTACTTTCTCAACTTAAAGTTATCTAAAGGGAAGTTTATATTTTTGTTACAAATGGGAAACCAGAATAGCGTCACTTGCCATAATAGGTGACAATTATAAAAAATAAATGCAAATCTAAGCAAAACAATATTATTAAATTCTAGTAGATACTGTTATCTGCTTATCCTGAGATCTGTTTTCTTTGTCATGAAGGAACATTAGCTCATATCTCAAAGATGGTGATGACATACTTGTTCCATACTGAAACTTAACCCTTGATATAATCAGTAGAAAGAAAAGAAAACTGGAAAAGGAATACCTTTTATACCTGATCTACTTACTGTGTAACGTTATGCTTTTAAGTGCCTCTAGCTGCAGGAAACTCAGTTATGTCCAAAAGTTCTCGGGGTGAATAATTTTTTAAATTGAAGTATAGTTGGTTTACAATATTATATTAGCTTCAGGTGTACAACATTGATTCTCTATTTTCATAGATTATACTCCACTTAAAGTTATAAAATATTGGCTCTATTTCCTGTGCTGTACATTACATCCTTGTATCTTATTTATTTTATATGTAATAGTTTGTACCTCTTAAACCCCTTCCCCTAATTTGCACCTCCCCCTCTCCCCGCTGGTAACCACTAGTTTATTCTCTGTATCTGTAAGTCTATTTCTGTTTTGTTCTATTCATTTGTATGCTTTATTTTTTAGATTCCACATGTAACTGAAAAATACACTGTATTTGTCCTTCTCTGTATGACTTATTTCATTAAGCATAATATTCTCTAGGTCCATCCACATTGCTGAAAAGGTCAGAATTTCATTCATTTTTATGACTGAGTAATATGCCATTGTATATATACACCACATCTTCTTTATCCATTCATCTGTTAGTGGGCAGTTGAGTTGCTTTCACATCTTGGCAATTGTAAATAATGCTATAATGAAATTGGGATGCATACATCTTTTTGAATCAGTGTTTTTGTTTTCTTCAGATATATAATCAGAAGTGGGATTGCTGGATCATATGTTAGTTCTATTTTTAATTTTTTGTGGAAACTCCATGCTGTTTCCCATAGTGGCTGAACCAATTTACACTCCCACCACCAGTGTGCTAGGGTATTTATGTGTTGTCTTTTTGATGATAGCCATTCTGACAGTTGTGAGATGATCTCTCATGGTGGTTTTGATTTGCATTTCCCTGATTAGCAAGGTTGAGCATATTTTCATGTGCCTGTTGGCCAGCTGTGTGTCTTCTATGGAGAAATGTCTATTCAGGTGCTCTGTCTATTTTTAATTTTTTTATATTGAATTTTATGTGTTCTTTATTTATTTTGGATAGTCACCCCTTACCAGACATATCATTTGCATATATCTTCTCCCATTCAGTAGTCTGTTTTTTCCTTTTGTCTATTGTTTGATTCACTGTGCAAAAGCTTTTAACTTTCATTAGGTCTGATTTGTTTATTTTTGCATTTGTTTGCCTTGTCTGAGTAGACATATTTAAAAAATATTGCTAAGACCTATGTCAAAGTGTGTACTGCCTATGTTTTCTTCTAGTTTTATGGTTTCTAGTCTTACATTTAAGTCTTTAATCTCCATTTTGAGTTTATTTTTGTATATGTTATGAGGAAATGTTCTAAGCTCATTGTTTTACATGTAGCTATCCAGTTTTCCCAGCATCATTTGTTGAAGAGATTGTCTTTTCCCCATTATATGTTCTTGCCTCCTTTGTCATAGATTAGGTGACCACATGTGTGTGGGTTTATTTCTGGGCTCTCTACTCAGCTATGTGTCTGTTCTTGTGCCAGTACCATACTGTTTCTGACTACCGTAGCTTTGTAGTATAGTCTGAAGTCAGGGAGCATGATACCTTCAGCTTCATTCTTTTTTCTCAATATTGTTTTGGCTCTTCAGGATCTTTTGTGGTTCTATATATTTTAAAATTATTTGTTCTAGTTCCATGAAAAATGTCATTGGTATTTGATAGGTATTGCATTAAATCTATACATTGCATTGGGTAGTATGGACATTTTAACAATATTATTTCTTCCAATCCATGAGTGCAGGATACTTTTCCATTTTTTTGTATCATCTTCAGTTTCTTTCATCAATGTCTTCTAGCTTTTTGATTATAGGTCTTTCAATTTCTTGGTTAAATTTATTCTATTTTATTCTTTTTGGTGTGATTATAAATGAGGTTGTTTTCTTAATTTCTCTTTATGATAGTTCATTGTTAGTGTACAGAAAGCAACAGATTTCTGTATATTAATTTTGTGTCAGTTCTGTAAAAATAATTTATTGGTTCTGTTGTCTATAGGGTCAAATTAATCAAACAATTGGATATTTTGAATTGGAAAAATGTCTAGGGTCTTTTATGTATATAAAAGAAATAGTCCTTCCCTGTTGAGATAGGGGAAATGATGTTGTATATTTGTGAAAATTAAATCATACCAAAACATATGATGAGAAATTTATTCTTTGTCAAGTTAATAGGGTACATTTTAATGTTATGGATGCTATTTG